TGTGTAGCTTTGCCTTTGTTTTTTTTATTTTTTATTTTTTTATTTTTTTATTTTTTTATTTTTTATTTTATTTTTTTTCCTTATCGATTGTGCGACATATATTCTTGTGCAACATATATTCTTGTGCGACAAATATATTTTTTACTCACAGATTGGTAGATTGATACTTCTTAAATATTAGAAGATCGTCCTTTGAGTAGTCTTCTGCCGTACCTTTTAAAGGAAGCTTGTTCCAGACACCACTTTAAACCTCCAAAAACTGAATCGTTTAAGCTTTGCGAACAAGTTGCTGAGTATTTAGTTAAAGTTCCGGCGTCTTCCCCCTCACTTTATACTGAATAAGCAAGAGATCATAAATGTTTATGCTCTCTTAGAATAAGATAATTGCGAAATTAATTGAAAACGATGATATACGAGGCCAAGTGTGAACGCTTTTCTCAGCCAAATGGGAATCTCAATTTATTGAACTCGTCAGCTGTCTTTTTCTCACAAGATTTCGATAACAACTTGAGACTTGTGTGCTTGGAAAACAGTAGGTATCTTCAAGTGAATTTTTTAATCTAGCATATTCGAACCCAGAGACAACCTCTAAGCTGATAAAAGACAGGAAACTGCTAACTCACAGCTCGAACCCTGAAACAACCTCTGGGCTGATCTAAGTCAGGGCACGGCATACTCACAGCTCGAACCCTGAGACAATCTCTGGGCTGATCTAAGTCAGGGCACGGCATACCCACAGCTCGAACCCTGAGACAATCTCTGGGCTGATAAAAGACAGGAAACTGCTAACTCACAGATCCAACCCTGAAACAACCTCTGGGCTGATCTAAGTCAGGGTACGGCTAACTCACACCTCGAACCCTGAGACAATCTCTGGGCTGATAAAAGACAGGACGCTGCTAGCTTGTTAGGTTTTATTGTGTCTAGCATTAGTATTACATAATTGGTTATAATTGGTTCTCGATTTTGAAATCTTCGCAACATTTCATATATAACATCAAAATATACCGCAAAACTGAATGCCTTGGTCGTCGATTTAAAAAAACGTCTTAATTATCGTAATAATCCTCTTATTATTTCCTTGCTTTGGCTTCCTGTCATTTTGATTTATTCATATCTCATTTTGCTTTTTTCCGCTTTTTATTAAAGGGTCTGTAACCCCTAACTCTATATTTTCAGCATTGATTCTACATCAAGTGAATAGTTGAATGGTGAAATATTTTTACATGATTTGAGTGATGCATCTTGGAGATATCAAGGTGTATTCTTCCAATAAACTAATAAATATGATGTCATATGAGACATTTGAGTTTATTTGTCATCGTTTGTAAATAAGCCTGAAGCGAGATGACGTTTTACCCCTGTCTCTAGACCATAATCCTTTTCACGCTGCTTTTGTTCTTTAATTATGACTATTGTTCCTGTATTCTCTAAGGAATCAAAAATTTGAATATGAAAGAATTTTAAAAACTATTATGGTATAGAGTCGGGGTTACAACGTCATCTCGCTTCAGGCTTATTGAAACACTGATTAATATGGAAAAAAGAAGCAAATCTGAAATAACCATTCTATAAATCCTGAGTAAGACAATGTTGTTTTATAAAGGATGCTTTACTGCCCCAGAAAATTTTGTATATATATAATACTAGTAATGTCTACCATTACATCACACTTAATGAAATATTGAGTTAGGGGCTATAGGCACTTCAATAAAATATTGAATCATAAGGGTTAATAGGCATCTTTGCGCGCCCGCGCGCGTTGATTTGGATCAGAACATAAACAGAAATAAGTGTGGGTGTAGGTCTGGGCAACTTCCCCCTCCGACTTCGATCCCGTCTCAAGTGAACTTCAAGGGTTAGTAATACTCTTTTTTTTAAACCGGGCAGGCGTCTCATTCAGTTTGGAGTGATGAGAGGTCTTATTCGTCGTCTCCACAAGTATCCAGTCCTGTTGACCAAACCGCAGCACGACAGGTCGCTCAGATCTCATAGTAGAGGAATGGTAACGATAAAAACTGGATCAAGCAAACACGTGCGTTTACAACCCAAGTATGTATTAAGCCACTGTTGCATTCCACTCAACCTTTCAGGTTAACGACTAAGTATACACTTATTTCAATAAAGTTAGTCACCTGAAAAGCTATAAAGCTGAGGTCGACAAGGATTATGGGTAGATTCATTTCACATGTTCAACCGCTTGATAACTGTTGATGGACTTGCGAATCTTTTGCCGGTTACAGTCTCACCTCTTCTGAGCATCATCGAGCTGCAGTTTGTATGTCAAAAGCTTTGCTTGTTTGATATAAAAAGTTTCCCATGATGCTCAGTGATCTCAGCTTTCCAGGTTTTTGGTGACTAACTTTATTGAAATAAGTGTATCTTGGGAAATAAACAAAGTGAAGAACTTACGGGGCGCAAATTAATGGACATAATTATCCACTGTTTTCCCATTTCAGACCACATGTCATTGCCTAGAGTATTATTTCTTTGTTTAATGGCTACACATGAGAAGACACATGATTATGGGTACGACTCAAACAAAGAATCTTATTCTCTAGGGAATGCCACGTGATCTGAAATGGGCAAAATATTACGCCTAAGTGGATTTGGCCGGTCCATTGGTAAATCGATCAATCAATCTAAAATTGCTGCAAGAAATAGATAGTCCATCCCATGTTTATAGAAATGGGGGGAGGGAAGGGGGGAATCGGTAAAATTTGAATACTTCTCCGACGTTACGTAAGCCCACGAGCTTGAAGAAGAAAAAAATAGAAAGGAAAAAAGAAAGATTAGATGAAAGGAAAAAAAGGAAAAGCAAAGAAAGAAACTTCTTGTGCAGGCCAGGGGGTAGGGAAAAATAAAGATAAAAAGGACAAAGAAAGAAAGAAAAGAAAGAAAAGAAAAGAAACGAGGAAAAAGAAAAAGGAAGAAAAGAAAAGAAAAAGAATAAAATCACCACTAAAGTCGTATAATTCACCTCAAATTACACACAACTCTCCACTTATACGAGCCAACTTATGCAAATATTCTTTCTCGCTCATATTTAGATGGCTCAACGGTAGACACAATTACGATGAAATTTGCTGCAAAACGGGTAACTATTAATACTGGATAATACTTACTTTGCCCTTCTTAATAATGCGTCCTTAGTCAACGGCTAATATCGTCACGCATATATCATCATTATTATCATCATCATCATCATCATCATCATCATCCACAACTACCATAGCCCCCAAAAAGATTTCTGCGTCATTTTATTTTCTCTTCCGTTCTCTTCTCAGTATGGTGTCTTTTTGGGTGCGGTGAGGGGAGGGAGGTATAAAACTTTCTACCCTCTCCTCCCCCATCAATCTATTTCGTCCTTTTTTCTTGTAATCTAGATCAGGAAAAGGTTCTCGTATCTTTTCTCGTAGGTACCTTTTTTTGAATCTTCACCAGGCACCGTGGACGCTCACACCCAAAGGGCCTCAATTTCAAAACATTTCAGGGGGTTGGGGCATTCCACCGGACGACCCCCAGATTAGCCCCTCCTCCCTCCCCCCACTCTCCGTAATCCCAGTTCACCCAAGGATTTCATTCATAAGCTCAATAATTCGTGTTTTATATATTTCAGGTTTATCTCATCAAGAGCTGGATGATATTATAGAGAACGATCCGCACGTAGTAGTCGTGTGGAAATAGGTCAAGAATAGTTGGCGATGGACTCTCCTTACAATTATCGTGGATGCCAGGCTAAGATAACATGAAAACACAAGAGAAATCACACTTTTTCTCGATAGAATTTGTGGCATTTCTTTTGTATATCCATGTTGGGGATCTATCGTTTCATGGATATGCAACGAAAGGTAAAGGAGGAGTAGACGATGTCTCTTCGGTAACCACAGGAAGCCCATCCTTGACTCGGGAAGATTTTGGTTGGTGGAGATATCGGGCGCGAAGCGTGAGAACTCAGCGGCGGAGCGGAAAACGGTAGTTGATTAGTATGATATAAAAGTATAAGTTTTTAGCCCTAGGCACAGGCAGCCCAACCCAACAACATTCAAAGCAGTTATGTCGTCTTCACGTTGCGCGCCATAATTAAAAAGAGAACAAGAACAAAAGGAAAGGAAAAGAAGATGAACAATAACAAGGAGAAGATGAACAACAACAAGGAGAAGAACAACAACAACTACAACGAGAAGAAAAACAAGGAGAACAGGAAGAACAACAACTATAACAAGGAAAAGAAGGACAAAAACAAGGAGAAGAAAGAACAGGAAAAAGAAAAAGAACAACAACAACAACAACAAGACGTAGAAGAAAAAGAAGAATAAACGAGAAAAAGAACAGGAAGAAGAAGTAGAACAAGAAGAAGATAGTGTTAGCAAAAATAAAAAGAGCTGGAAAAAAGAAAGAATATAAGAAAATAACTGGAACGGGTTTTTTGAATCATGCTATTCTTATTTCTTTATTCGTGCTACATCGTTTACAACACTTGTCCAGCCTGATAAAATTGTTGACAATCTCTTTTTTAAAATTTCATTAACACATATCTCTTCATGGCTTAATTTTGTCATAGCCCTATCATATGTAGTCGGTATTACATATAATAGCACTTGCATACTCCGTTGATCGATTGACAACGACAACCGCAAACATTTCCACTTGGTTTTCCAAGCAGGCCATTGCCGCTGGAGCAACGACATCCCGTTATACTGGAGCTACTGCAGCCGCACCCACAAGACCAGCGTTTAGCTATCAGCCTACCCATAATGCGATCAACAGCATCAAAACGTTTGACCCCTTCCTCTGCAAAGGCAAACACCAGCAAAGCGGATAGGAACAAAGCAAGCTTCATTTTTTTGTCTGTAAAGGAGCAAAAGATTTTGTTACGGTTAGATTAAAGCGTGGAAAATTTCAATACAGTCCCGAGAAGAATTGCTCTATGGGACAAAACAATGGATTGGTTTTCTTTTCTTTTTTTTTCTTCTTCTTTGCATTAGAAAAGACGGCCCATTTTTTTGTTCCCCAGAACACTTGCTCTAGCAAATTAATGCAAGGGGTCCAGCCATATCGGATATTAGAGCAACTCTATCGCCTTCAAACAGTCGATTCAACTCGTGGCATTTGATTTAATACGATGCAGAAACTCACCCAAATGCAACAATATATATTTTGGCTTCACTAGCTTTGTTCGTCCCTAACCATTCCTTTAATGAACAGGGGCACTTTGACAGCGAGCCCCGAACGATCTGTAGTCGGTTTCTATATAACGACTCTCCGTGTTTTAAATATATAAGTGTTTAAATTAAACAAGACACTAAAGAGAAAGTGTTAAAGTCTGGCACATTCAGTAGAACTTCCACAACAAAGTCAACAAATCTAAATTATTAAAGTGCTTATAAGCCTTTACACAATATTTTCAGAATTGATTCTTTAAATAGTAAATAGTTGATTGTGAAAATAATTCGTCATTCTTCAAAGAATCAATTCTGAAAATATTGTGCAAAGGCTTATAAGCACTTTAAGTTATGAAATACGGTCATCAACTTTGTGCATCTTACCTTTAAAATAAAGCTACGGAAAAACAAAACTCGACAAATTGGTTATTTTTCAAGATATAGCCGACCTCTAGCTCGATTAGTTTTGCTCCGACTGAATTCTGTAGGGTGTGGGCTCACATATATGCCATTGAACAGTCAATCCTCCAAATCCAACGCACCAATATAATCAACTGTTTAGCACCAGATGAAACAACAGTTTTAAGTGATTATTTGCGAGTGTCAATCACTACGGGAACTAATCATAACTATTACAATTTCCTCAAATCTGATTGATGGAGAAACTGCTCTATTTTTTCACCAATCAATCTCGTAATCGTAATCGGGCATCTGTAATTGAACAGTTGGTTGGAATTAGACAGCTGTAAGTGACAATTTCATTCAAATTTCAAATTTCAAAATTCATTCAAATCACTATAGCAACATCGTGACGCTGTCTTGGCATGCGGAATTGTGTAAAATCAAACAGCCTGGCTGGGTGCGGTTTATTTGTTTTTCATAATTTTACTAATATTAGTAGTCTGCATGCTAAATTAAAATCTTGCTTAATAGTCAAAGTGCATAATAATAAATATTTATTATAATAATAAGCTTTATCGTATATTTATCCATAAAATACCTATATTTCTCCTTTTCGAAAAACTGACATTTTCACATGTGAAAATAACATGTTATTTTCACGTGTGAAAATATCGTTACCATGTGTATTTAAGCTATTAGTTAGTTAGTTATAATAAAAAAAAGCTTATTAAGTTGATTTTATGGATAATCATATAATAAACAGAATATTACATGGGCACTTGGAGATATGAAATTTATCTTCTCTGCGCTCACTTGTGAGAGATCTTTTCAACACTCTGAAGATAAATTTCGTATCTCCGCCCGCCATGTAATATCCTCTATTATAAAATACATATCGTACAGACCAAATGCAAAAAGAGGGGAAGACTGGGAACGAGCACCACAAACAATTAATATTGATATCAAATACAGTCAATGTCATTAACGTTGTCCACCGAAAAAAGACATTTACACATTTACACATTTAGACTAAAGTGAGCCTGAACTTTCAATCTAAAATTCAACTCGTGAATCAAAAATCCAGAATGCCCTGACCATTTAGTGAGGATTTAAGATGGAGAATTGTATTTCAGCGTTTGTTTTATGCCAGAACGTTCGAAGAAACACGTGATATTTCTTTTAGTCTAAATGTGTAAATGTGTAAATATCTAAATGTCTTTTTTCGGTGGACAACGTTAATGACATTGACTGTAGTATATATTCATATATTACAAGAAAGACCATGTGAAAATTAGTAATTTCAGAGAGTTCTATTGTCATATATTAAATCCCTGAAGAGTTATAAGCATTTGAAAAGTACCGAAAACATGATAGTGAGGCTGATAGGCCCTTGGTTGTTGCTTTCACACAAACCCATCTAATTTCAATCAGCTGTAGCTTTTTATCATTTAATAATTACTGATCTTATCAAAATCCATTGTTTTCAGTCTGCATTATCCCAACGAATGCAWAGAGGAAAATCAGACATATTTAGTTCATTCATTATTGGCTTTGTTTCTATGATAAACAAGCTAGAAAGAAAACAATTGCATTTTGATAAGATCAGTAATTATACTAGATAATTACTTTGGCATGCAGCATTTGTAGGTATAATGCAGGCAGCTTCGGGCTACGCCCTCAGCTGCCTGCATTATACCTACGAATGCTGCGTGCCTCGGTAATTATCTATTAAATATTACTAAACTGAAATTTTGAAAGATCAGTAATTTTGATATACTCTTTCTAATGAAACCACTGTTCACTTCCATAACTTATGAACTAAGGTATCTCGATGGACATGCCTCCTTTCATATGGTCTATCTAGTCCATGTATATTCACCATGCATGCTAGCTCATGATAAATTATTTAGCAAATTGAGGTCCATCTCCTATTTTCTGTAATTTTACCGAACTTGGAATGGCATCAGCATACTATCCAAACTCAAGTGGAACCACAAGTGCAGCCAGTGGTTTCACTGCAAAGTTTGGATCATATGCTGATGCCATTTTTATATGTTTAATAAGAGTACTAACCATAGAAAAAGGACCTCGATTTTTTTTTTTTTTTAATCACAAAAAATTCACTAACGAATTTTTTGACGTTTTTTTTTTTACTTTCAAATAAGCTTGCATACGGATGTCGTCAGCAAAAGCACATCTAGCCTCTTATCAACAATCAGCAAGTGATAAATTAATAAATGATGAAGTCAAAGAGAGCTCAAGTGTATGAGAGTAGATTGACATCATAACTGCCATCAATCTGAAGTTATAAATGAAAAAGATATCTTTTAATCAAATGTGGGGAGGACGGAAAGAGGACACATACTATGTAATAGACCAGTTTTGAGTTTCAAATTATCACTGTGTTCCTTGATTACAGACTCATTTACTCAGGGTGAGTCTGTAATCAAACACGGCAGTAGTTTGGAACTTGAAAATGGTCTATTCAATAGCTACAACAAAGGACTCCAAGTTATGCAATAGAAAACAGCTTATAAAAAATACAATAGATTTCTAGTGAATTATGTACATATGTCCTCTATTGTGTCCTTTAGACAAAGATATACTCGGAAATGGGATGAGCCTAACATTGAGACCCCTTATGTGACCTGTGTTTTGGTGCTCTGATTGGTCAAGAACTGTGCTATATTAGTTACAAAGCACAGTTGCTTTACTTGTGTTTTCGTCCCTTCCTGTTTGGTGTGTTACTGAATGGAGGCCAGAAAAATTCTGCCCCCTCCCCCTAATCAGAGAACACGATTTTAATGGAAGTAGGGTGTCCCATATAATATAACGCCTTATAACAAGCCTTAGTTTATTTTTAACCAACTTACATCAAATCGTCCAATCCTCTCAGTTTTGGCTGCCTTAATCTCTTCAGTCATTGCCCACATTCGCTGCATTAATTCTGCTACATTCTCTGACTTTGGAAGACCCTTAATAAGAAAAGGTAAAACAATAATATTAAGTATGAATAGCGACGTTGAGGAATTGACATTTCTCTGACCCAAGTGAACTTTGAGTACAAATACATAAAATAAATAAATAAATTTAGCTAATCGAGGTCCCTTTTCTATGGTATGTACAGAATAATAAGCATCATTTTGGATAAGAGTGATGAATAGAAAGTGCACAAGTTCCCTCATAAAGCATGCACTCCTAACCAATAAGAATGTGAGATTCATAACAGTCATTCTATTAATATTTATGTGGCTTTATACCTGATGTTTAGGTTTTGGAACTGCGACATCGTTACTTTCATTATCATTGCTTAACCATGGAGCTGAAGTTAGATTCTAGGAAATAATAATAACAAAGCAATTTAGAGATGATTTAACCATTTCTATCAACTCTTCTCACATACGACAATACAACGCCAATCCAGGCAGGACTCAAACCCGGGTCTCAATTGGATCAAACTGAAATTTTTTTGAACTTAACTTTTTTTTTCAAATGCTTTCAGTTTGACCCCATTGAGCTGTGCCACTGCTGTACTTGTGGTGGTGATTAGCGATGACAAGTTGTTGTTTTTGGCTTGTTGGGCCTTGCAGGGGGAGGGAAACCAGAAAATTTGAGATGCCGAGTCTAGGATTCAAACCAAATACCTCAGGTAAGAGGTGACTGTACTGCCCACACTATAAAATGCCGCAATACTTACAAATAAGGAAGGTATGTAGCACTTTGGATTTTCAATACCAAAAGTAGCCCAATGTGGGGAGGATTGTCGCAATATTAACCTTAACATGACAACATTATCAGTTGGGAAACACATCTACAAATAAATACAAATTATAAAATACAATCAATGTTGGAATAGCAATGTTTTTCAATGACTTTCCACTATGAGTAAAGTTTACATCAAATGACCTTTATATTAGTTATAGAAATATAGATAAGTTATAGTGCTTGGGAACGAGGTTATTCCAGGCGAAAAACCCTTGGAATTAAATTCGGAAAAATTAATTTCCAACCTCGCTGGGAATCAAACCCACAACCTTCGGAATTGTACTACCGATGCCCTACCAGCTGAGCTAGAGGTCAGACTGAGAGCAGGCCGGGGTAAAAAAGACGTCGTTAGGTAGTGGTAATTATGATGCAAAGATGAGAATATGTGGACCGCGTAGCACTTATGAAATACATGAAGATATAGAAATATAGATAAGTTGTGGGTTCGATTCCCAGAAGGTCGGAAATTCATTTTTCCAAATTTAATTCCAAGGGTCTTTCACCCGAAATTACCTCATTCCCAAGCACTATAACTTATCTATATTTCTATATCTTCATGTATTTCATAAGTGCTACACGGTCCACATATTCTCATCTTTATATTATTTAGTTTATCATCGACACATTTTCAAAAAGAAGACATGGAGCAAAAAGCTTAGTCACATTAGTTGCGGTGTCCTTACCATATCTGAAGTTATTGAGACATAGCATTGGCTGCCAGCCTCGTAATGAGGGTGAGGCATCAGCACAAGCTTCTTTATACATACTTTCCAAGTTTCACCTTTATCTTCTTCTATCAAATCATTCAAGAGGATAAGAAATACATGGTATGAAATGATAATATTTTAGCTTTTTGATATATTATATACTAAAGGAGAGCCTCCAGTAGGTCAGTGGGCAGAATCTGGAAGGGGGTCCGGATCCCAAACCACGCTCTATTTTTTCCAGAAATCCTGCGCCCCGTGACAATTATTGTAAGCAATGAACAAATTCATTATCCATTTTATTTATTAATGTTTTCCCATTTTCCCACAATTCCCAAGTCACAGGCGATGCCAATATCCCGAATCATGTAAGTTTTTTCCCTAGTTTCCCGGATCCTACTCTATATTTTATCCATTTCCCTGCTCCTAAAAATACTTTTCCACACCCTGATCTGGGCTTCATATTTTTTGTGAGTTAATTTCCTCATGCCTGATTACTACCTCATTAATTTTCTATTGAATGACGTTCTAAATTTAAGTCTTTAAAATATTTTTTAATTTCTTTTATAAAACTGAAACCACTAGAAAGCTGCACAAAAATTATGTGGCTCTCACGAAGCATGACGTAGCCCAAACAAAGAAAATGAGATTTAAAAACTGTTCATTTATAATGAATAAAATATATAAGATGCACTGCACTAAGCTTTACCTTTTATTTTGGCCTTGAGTTCAACTGATGCTGTATAATTATTCTTAAATGTCAAATGAACTATCTAAAGAAATAAACTAATATCAGTAATGAAAAAAAGGTAAATTATACACCGTAAAAAGATGAAAAAACTGACGTTACGGATGCTAGTCACAGTGTATAATTTACCTTTTTATCATTACTGTTTCATTAGAAACACCGACGCAGCTAACACTAGTTTTTAGCTAGTTATGACTTTAAATTAATATCAGTTATCAATCTTAATGATGTTTACAAGGCTGTAAAGTAGTTACATGTGAAGCATGCTTAAATAAGTGTGTGATTGTTGAAAATAGCAAAACGTAGAGCAAGATTTGTAAATTCCAGATTTACTATGAGGCATGATTAAAATGCGTGGTTCTTGAATGATTGATTCAATTTTGTAAAAAGTTAAAATTCAGTTAAAATTTGTGATTCGTTAATTTGCCTTAAATCATTTGTAATGCATGAAACGTGATGCCCACCCCATTACAAGCCATTTATGTACTAAAGAAATAGAAATCGCACACACATGCTGTGTGCAGTTATAAAGCACGCAGGGGTTGGCAGAACAGGAGAGAAGTGTTAGGAGAAGCATGACGCATAGCAGAGTGCTTTTCGACGCTTCTTGAGTGTTCTGCCCATCCCCAAGTGCTTTATAACTTTAACTATGATTCTATATGTGCCTCCCATAAAGCATGTGCTCACAACCAAGAACGCGAGATTTATAACAATTATTTTATAATTTTCATTGAATGATACCACCCTCGATATATAAATTACATCAAAAAACCTAAGATGACAGTATGTGGACCACGTAGCACTTATGAAATACAAGATACAGAAATATAGATAAGTTATAGTGCTTGGGAATGAGGTAATTCAGGGCGAAAGACCCTTCAAAATAAATTTGGAAAAATTAATTTGACCTCGCTGGGAATCGAACCCACAACCTTTGGAATTGTACTACCGATGCTCTACCAGCTGAGCTATAGGTCAGACTGAGCTCGACCTGACCTGACCTCGTTCCCAAGCACTATAAATTATCTATATTTCTGTATCTTGTATTTCATAAGTGCTATGCGGTCCACATATTCTCATCTTTGCATCATAATTACCGCGACCTAACATCTATTTCACCCCGGCCTGCTCTCAGTCTGACCTCTAGCTCAGCTGGTAGAGCATCAGTAGAACAATTCCGAAGGTCGTGTGTTCGATTCCCAGCGAGGTCGAGGTCAATTAATTTTTCTGAATTTATTTCCAATGGTCTTTCGCCCAGAACTTCTTTGTTCCCAAGCACTATAACTTATCTATATTTCTGTATCAAAAAACCTAAATGTTTTAGCCCATACCATTGGCTCATAGGGGTTCCCAGTCACATTTTAATGTAAAAATTATCAAATTAATATTAAAATAATAATAAATTTATTGAAATTAAAATTATTACAATTACTAAATTAATATTAAAATAAGAAAATGACATCAAGTAAGCTATCATGTATTTACCGTCCATCAAAAATATATTAATTTCTAAAGGAAATCGCGTCCATTTAACCCCTTTCAGGATCGACCCGCTTATAAACCTAATATATAGTTCCTTAGATAAGTGATCTTTCTTTATATATTTCTTACATTAACAGTGTCGTGGCCAGGAAAGAGAATGTCTACAACAGCACATCCAGACTTAAACTCTGAAGTCAAATCTCCATCTCTCAAAAACACCGGTTTCCGCACGATACAATCCAAAGAAGATTCTTTAGAGCTATCCATTACAAAGCTAGGACTTTCGTTTCCTCATGTGAGGCATAATCATTAGAGAATTTTCTTTTATGAGGCTCTTAAAAGCGAAATATTTGAGTGAAAACATTCCAACTTCTGGTCGTCAGGACGCCATTTTGAAAATTCCCTATAATGCATTGCAGGTCTCGTTTATACCACAGGAGTCCCATAATTATTTAGGAGAGATAGCTTTCTTAGATTTACCATACTATCCTTGTTACCGTGCCGGGACATAAATATGTCTTTAATATGATCAGTTGAAGCGCAATCTGATCGAGGTGCCTTTTTCAAATGCTTTAATTTGCCTGTATACAGTAAATTGCAAATTGTAATTTGTAAACTGTAAATTGGCGCACAGCCGGGTTAAAATGAGGCATCAAATTTACAAATTTACAGTACTTACTCATAATTGGATTGCGCGAAATTGTCGCGTTCCTGAATGTAAGAAGAAAAGGAAGACAGAACAAGTGAATAAGTGTATACTTTGCATTGACACGATGTTATTTCTTTGCATTTGGCCCTAGATGCCATGTCCTTAACTCGTCGATACGCGGGGTCTGAATATGCAAATGTCACTCGCTCACTCGCTCACTAAGATGTTAGCAGATCGATAATTAAACGTTTATCACTCGTCTTTCGTCAACTGATTACGAACGTTACACGACACTAACAAGCACATAGCTCATACTCGATAAAGACTACTTTCGCTATTCATATGAGGAAATGAACTGTTTTCATGTGGGATAGTTCTAGCACTGTGGACCCACTCTGCACATGCGCAAACTCGCACTTAGTTTCATCTTCGGATTATTATTTATATCAAAAGAATCAAGGAAAGATGCAAGTTGAAGTAAAATAATACGATTAACGCCTAAACTAAAATTCCAATGAATCAACCTTCTTTTGCTCATGTGTTCAGAACCCTCGTAGGTAGAGGCGGATGCATCGAAAAAAGAGCTTTTCATTAGATTTTAAAACGAAAGTCATGGAGTCTTGAAGAAAGTTCGGCTAGTTTTGCCATCCAAATAAGCCGTTCTGAATAAAAAGTAGATTGAACGTCGGATATCACAAACAGCCGAAGCAATGTACGTTCTTTTATGTCAACTGCACAAGATACTATTCTACTCAATAGATCACTATCGCTCATCGAGACTTTGCACTATTAAACGAGAATTCGCTCCAATAAATAATCAGTAATTTACCGACTTGAATGAAGTCAAATTAATTTCTATAAAAAATGCGCTTAGTTCACAGTGTAAATAAAGTGTGCCATGTGAAAACTTCAGGCAACAAAATCGATTGTAAGCGCCGCCGTGAACTATGAAGGTCAAGATAAGTAGAAGAAAAGATTCACAGAAAAATAAATTAAGAACATATAGAACATTTAAAATAGATTATAAGCGAGAGGAATACTTAAGAGAGGTAACTAATATTAAACACAGAATA